GAGGACCGAAGTTTACGGGTGCAAATGTTCCAAGTTCTTCTCAAGTCGATGGCGATCAAGGCCAAACCAATCTCAACCAAGAACCTGCAAGCAAACGCCATGTGCGAGCGCGTCCACTTGGAGATAAGCAACATTATCCGCGCTCGTCCAGATCTGAGCAATCAACTCGAAGTTGTACTCGACTATGCTGCCTACGCTATCCGCGCTAGTTATCACTCGGTGTTGCGCGCTTCTCCGGCCCAGTTGCTTTTTGAAGAAGATATGATCACTCGGCAGCTTCATTTCGCGAATTGGATCTTCCTTTCCAAACAAAGGTTCGCGGCCATCATGTAAGAGAATGATCGCGAAAATCTCACTCGAATTCTGTGACGGGGTCACACAGCACCTTGCGCTAGAGGAAGTTATCTTCCGAGAGTATACAAACTCTCAGTGAACGGCAGTTCACAGGTCCCCTCTTTAATTAAAGAGAGCGAAGTGACCTAAATAAGGTAGATTGTAAACTGAGTATATTTATAGGTAGGTTAAGTTTGTGGTTAATACAAACTATCAGTTACCTATAGAAATGCAATGTCATTTAACCAATGGTTGGTTTTGAATGACCTTGGTACCTTGTACCAAATATCCCGGAGTATGACATGTCATACTCCTGAAGTGTGAAGTGTCACACTTCATGTAACCAGGGTACACTTAGTGCTACGTACCCCGTTACATCCTCCCCCACTTAGGTTCGGTTTACCGACCAATCAGAATGAAGAGATGTTCGTCACAAACTCTCATTCTCAAAGTCGAAAACCATCGACTCGGCCGCGCGAGCGCGGCGGAGGCTCACTTTACAGTTAGAGCCTCGAGCAGCAACCTGTGCGCTCTTCGTCAAGGTCTCCACTTCGACCGTTAACATGCCTCGTGACACTGCTAAGAGCGGGTGCTAAGACACGCTCCAAGGCTGCAGCCGGTAAGGCGCAGGCCAAGAGCACTAAGCCTCACGGCAAAGGCTCTGCACTTAAGGAGGCTACTCAGGTGGCCTCCGAGGCTATCGGATCCTCGGGTGACGCGGCTGCGGACAAGCGCGCAAGCAGGCGCCGCAGTCCGTCGCCTTCGTCTTCAGACATCGTCCGAACCCTCGGTTCGTAGA